AGAGGAGAGGAGGAGAGCTGTGGGCAGGACGCCTGTGTGGGACAGTATGAAGAGGAGAGGAGGAGAGCTGTGGGCAGGACACCTTTGTGGAGAGGAGAAGAGGAGAGGGCAGTCACACATAAAACATACAACCGCAACTCCGATCTCAATGCCTTTGATAATTTACTCCAGGTGTTGAGCTGCCTGGACAGTTCTCTCTTCTTATTATTCCCTAAGTTTTTTAAGGCCTCTAGATAAGGCATCTAGCCTCCTCCTTCTCCCACTTAACCTAACCTCAATCTAAAACAATTCTATCGATTGGGTACAAACAAACTACATTAACCATGAGCTCTCGGGACTCTGGGTCCTCTACTTCCTGCGGCATTGAATCCTGGGAATTGTCGTCCTTGTAAACGCGAAAGTGATTTCGAAAACAATGCTCTCCATTTTGAGAAATGAAGATGACATTCATTTATAGTTTTCCTTTTTGATCCTTTTGATGTATTATTTCTAAAAAAAGATTAACCCAATTTTCGGTTCCGCACCACCTCTTCCTCCCGTAAATACAATCTGGTCGGGACCTTCCACCCGATCAGGGGAATTTCTTCGAACAGCTGATCTTCAGGACGGCCCAAATCATCGTCCACAATGGGGTCGTCAAGGAGCATGTTTTCGACAGCCATCCTGGGAAATATACAGAAATGAGTCAAAGTAATAGAATTTGAAATATGTGCTAAGCTACAGTAAGGTAGGGAGCGACTTATTTTTACAGTTTAAGTGTCGCTTCAGCTGTGCTTTGGTGAGATGGACACCCCTCCATCGCCAGAGCGCAGTGGTCTCGCCTGAGGACGGAAGTGGTTTCGGTTTCGGCTCGGTGGAGGTGCAGGCGAACCCGCAGGTCCGGCGCGCGTTTCTGAGCTGGCAGCGCCCAGCGTGGTTCCGTGTGTTGTAAGATTGAGAAATCAATATTGTACTTCAGCTCATCGCGACCCGTCGCTGAAGCGGGGCGGCTGTAGCGCCGCCGGGATCGCTAGGGTCGCTGTCAGGAATGCCTGACTCACGGTGACGTTAGCGATGGCATTTCGAGACGGGACGGCGTGAATGTGTTTAAAGCTTTTGTTTCGTCGCTTTTACGAACCAATTCATAGGCTATTTCTTTCTGGACCGACGCCGGGATTGTGTATCTACTTGTTGTGCTGATCTGCAGCTAGTTTATGTGGATTTCATGATATCACTTCCGAGAATTACTTATTTTTCTGTGTTAATTCGTCATACACTATTTTGTTTTTATTCATTTTCTGCTTTATATTGTGTCATGATAAAAAACCTCAATTTGGAATAGCGTACAAAAAGGGAACTGTCGAAAACAGATTTATTGCGGTAATTCAGTACCGCAGAGTAGCTTGAATTAGGACCTTTGGATTCGGGTTAACTGCCACCTGTTAAAAAGGAGTCATTGTGTGTTTTTTATTACTGTTATTGGGCATATTATTTATTTTCTATACCTCTCGATGGACTTGTGACGAACACAGCGGACGTCATAGGTAACCGACATTTTTATTGTAGAAAATGTATTTTGTTATGGAACTGTTTATGTAAATATTTATCACAATATTCAGACTCAACACTGAGGAACATTCAGTAAAAATGTCATCACATTTGTTTTTGCCTTTAATCGTGATTTTTCTCAAGTTTTTGAAAAATCTTACAGTACTCCTTTGTTTATGAACAGTAAAAACATTATAAAAAAGTCACTTAAGTGTTCTAATATAACGAAAGTGGGCGTGTCTGTTGTGATTGACAGGCAGGCTGACCAATGGAGAAGCTGCGAGAACTCAGTCACGCGGAGCTTCAAGCTCTACTGGACAACCAGGAGAAGTTGGAGTCACTGGTGCTGGAGTCTGATGAGGTAAGAGGTCACAGCACCAACCACAGAGAAGATTAACATTAATGCAGAGTTCATGCAGTATATGTATTGTATTAACTGTGGTGTCCAGTTAGTGTGTCTGGACTGTATTAACCCCTCTCTCTCAGTGCAGTGTTAATGTCCTG